GATATCATCAAAGTAGTAGTATCATCAAAAGTAGCTGATAGGAGTATTAAATACTTGTTAACTTTTATGTGCAGACTGTGGATTAGTAAAGTAGCCCACTCCAAAATTCTTCTAAGAGTTAAATTACAAAATCAACACAATGTGGATGAGCTGAGATACATGCTAAAAACACAATTCTTCCTGGGCCAGAAGCCAGAGGAACAAGCTGACAACTACTATTAATGGAATTAATGCCATCAATAAGGTAATGTTAGTTAATATTATCTATTATTATTATTTTATATTACTATTATTACAAGGGTTTGTTAAGGGCCAAATACTGTGTTAAGGGTTTATATGTAATGTCTTATTTGAGCTCCATAACAAACTGATGAGTGAGCGTTATTATTCACATTTTAAAAATGTGGAAACAGGAACAGAGATTAGGTAACTTGACTAGGGTCACACAACCAGTAAGGTGCATGGTGTGGAGTTAAAGGCAGCTCTTTTGGATTCCAGTATATCTGTTATTAACCATTTATTCTACTGAACAGAAATAAGCATGTGAAGCCATGTACTTTTAACACTACATAGTGTGGTGTCATCCAAGACCCTGTGAATTATGTTTGTAAAGTCACTCCTTAGTAGGGAAAAGTGTCACAAATGACTTCAAAGGAAAGGTGACCTAGAAGACATAATGCCTTTCATTTTGATTCCATCCAAAATGTATTCATTGAGCAGCTTCTTGGGATGCCACGTACATAGCACATTACTTCACACAAAGTTGAGTAAGGTAGTTTTTTTCTGCCCTTGAGGAGCTAAATTATACTTTGTAGATATGCCTAAGGGGGAAAGTGTTTGTTACCACAACAGCAACATTCCAAGTCACTTTATGATTTTATTTTTATTCTCATTTAAAAGATTGACATGTGACTTTACCCTTCCATCCTCTGAGTATGTCAGCAAAAATGAGCTTCTGTGGATCTTATTAACCTGAAGATATTGACAAAATCCTCTTTTTGGCCAGCAAAGGAAATGCTACCTAAAGGGACCCCCTGGGAGGACTCCCAGATAAAATATAGAATACTCAGTAACATTTGATTTTCAGATAAACGACAAATACTTTCCATAGTATAAGTATGTCTCAAATATCGCATGGGGCATATGCTAAAAAGCCATTGTTGTTAATCTGCAATTGAAATGTAGTTGGGCATCTTATATTTTATCTAGCAACTATACTCTAGAGAGATTGCCAGTTAAGAATTCCATGGATATACTCTTCCAGGCCATAAAGGCCTCTCACAAATTTTAGTAGTGTGGCCAAAATTGTTTTTTTTTTTTTCCCCAAAATTGTTATAACTTAGGACAGAACTATCTGTAGTCAGGAAAGGTTACCTAGAAAAGGAGCAGCAGATTGTCCTTAAAGCAAGGGTAGGCAAATGAATTGACAGAAAGAGCTGTTTCAGAAGGGCAGGCCCAAGGCACATACTTCAGGCAGGGTCTATGCAATGTGCCAGTAGGAAGCCCCTTAACACAGAGAAGAGAGTGCTGGGCTCCCCATTCACTTCTACATATAAGCAAGCCTTCTGGCCAGCTCAGTCACGTTTCATAATACAGTGGTCAAAGCCTGGTCTCCCTTCTTTATGAGGAGAGCTAACAGATACAAGGCAGAATGGGTAGCACTACATCATGCACAATAATGGCAGGAAACAACCAGTTGCCCTTTGTGAGTACAGAAGGCTTCTGTAGCCATGTGAGTTAACAAAGCAATGGTTCTCAAACTTTGTTGGCATCAGCTCCATCTGAAGGGCTTGATAAAGCACATATGGCTGGGCTTCATCCCCAGAGTTTCTGACTCAGTAGATCCAAGGTAGGATGGAAAATTTGTATTTTAAACAAATTCTCAGGAGATGCTGCTAGTGCTGCTTCAGGACCACAGTTTGGGAACTGCTCTAAAGTGGGGTTTCTCAAGCTTTAATGTACACCTGGGGACATCAATTAAATGCAGAATCCTAACTCACCAGGTCTGGGGTGAGGCCTAAGATTCTACTTTTCCCAAAATGTCCAAGGGGATGTTACTAGGTTGCCAAGCTCCAAGGAAGTAGTTCTCAAGCCTGGGTGCATGATAGAATCACCCAGGGAACTTCTAAAATTTCCATATTCCAGATCAATTCATTCAGAATTTTGTGGGTGGCATCCAGGCATATGGAGCTATAAAGACTATTTTTACTGCCAGCTCCTCCCAAAGATACACAGAGATTCCTACTCCTGTGATGGAGTCATTGCTTCTCAAAACGGAGGCTGACAAGAAAGGTACTGACTCTGACTTCTGTATATCAAGATAGAAGCTGTTGAGGTATTAAAATGCTAAATATCTGAAGAGATGGAACCTGATGCAGGCTTTTTCTCATCTGTAAAATGGGGGAAATAATAGTGCTATGTCACAGAATTTCATAAAGATTGAATGAGAGGATCTATGCTAAGTAGCTGGCATAGTGCCAGGTGCTCGATAGATATTTTAAATAATAATATTATCTGTCATTGTTACTACAATCCAACTGCCCACCTGAGTTTTCTCTTATTTCTCAATATTACAACCTTCCACATGGGTGCCAGACCAAATCTGAACTACTCTACTGGCAAGTGATTTGTCTGTTGTGGCCAGCCTTGTGTGGAAAGCTCTTCCTTCTATTAAGTTCTTGTAGATTCCAATAATCAATCCTAGTTAAACCCCTTAGATTGCTATAGCACAATTCTCATTTCCCTTCCACATAAGATTCATTAACTTTTAAATCAGTATTCCTTAGTTCTGTCATGGATTAACCGTTCTCTGTTCATATACGCTACATTTCTCATTACATTGTTCATGATTTTTGCCATCCTGACTGATAATTTTGCATACTCTGGTTTGTTTACATCTCAAGTCTCAAGACAATTTATCCTGGTGTAGTCTCATTAGTGTAGAGCATTAGTGTAGTGACTCACCTTCTTGTTTTAGAAATCATACTTATATCACACAAAGTATGCACCAGTGTTTTTGGTGGTTACATCACTGTTCGTTTTGAGCTTGCTGTGGATTAAAGCTGAAGAATTTCTTTCCTATGTGTTTGCTATACTATGCAACAGAAGATCTTAGCTTGACCTTGTATGGTTGGTTTTTTTTTTAATAACTGATATGTAAAATCTTACACACACTTTAACACTTCACATTGTTAATTTGTCCCATTTCCCTGCCTCGTGAGATTTTTTTTTGAATTTTGATTCTATCCTTTAGTAAAATCATTCTCTCCCAGCTTTTTGACATACACACTTTTAATAAACACATTTTTTTGTAGTTTTAGTCAAGTTATTAATTGAAATGCTGGACAGCTGGAGCCAAAAGGCAGGCTTTGCATAAGGACACTAGACATGCTCTTCTAGGTTGAGAGGTATTCAAATGATTACACACCCACCAATTGTATTATGTCGATTATTTCACCATTTTGCCCAGATATACTTATGACCACATTAAATTCTTTGTTATGGCTCATTTTGTCTACTACATTTTCTAATCTACTTAATCTTACAAAATAGGAAATATATAGTCTGAAATGATTTGTTCTTGAGAATCCATGCTGGCTTGTTGTAATTGTTGCATCCTTATCCTCTCTTAACTATGCCTAGAATTAATACCAAGCTCACCAGTCTACAGTATCCAGAATTTCTTTCCTGATATTAGAAAAAATATATGCCTATCTCTAATACTTACCATGGCTTATAATTTTTCAGTAAAAATTGCATGAGTCAGCAGTCCCACTGTTAAATCTCACAGTACTGTGGAATAGAATTAATGTAGAGGTGAGACATTATTTAGAGTTGATAGTTCTTTCCTATCTTAATTTTCCCTGGGTTTTAGTTTCTTCTCATGAGTGTTTCATCTTTTAATACTAAATTCTGCAATAAATAGAATATGCTAAGATATATAAAACTCCTAATCCTGAACAGACAACTGGGCAATGAGGATTCATGTTTGTTTCTTTTCTAAATTGAGATATAATTGACATTATAACATTATATTAGTTTCAGGTGTACAGTAGGATTGAATATTTAAGAGGATTAATTTTTTAAAATAATAAATTTATTTTTTATTGGTGTTCAATTTGCCAACATACAGAATAACACCCAGTGCTCATCCCGTCAAGTGCCCCCCTCAGTGCCCCGTCACCCATTCACCCCCACGCCCCGCCCTCCTCCCTTTCCATCACTCCTAGTTCGTTTCCCAGAGTTAGAGGAGTCTTTATGTTCTGTCTCCCTTTCTGATATTTCCCACACATTTCTTCTCCCTTCCCTTATATTCCCTTTCACTATTATTTATATTCCCCAAATGAATGAGAACAATGTTTGTCCTTTTCTGATTGACTTATTTCACTCAGCATAATACCCTCCAGTTCCATCCACGTTGAAGCAAATGGTGGGTATTTGTCGTTTCTAATGGCTGAGTAATATTCCATTGTATACATAGACCACATCTTCTTTATCCATCATCTTTCGATGGACACCGAGGCTCGTTCCACAGTTTGGCTATTGTGGCCATTGCTGCTATAAACATCGGGGTGCAGGTGTCCCGGCGTTTCATTGCATCTGAATCTTTGGGGTAAATCCCCAACAGTGCAATTGCTGGGTGGTAGGGCAGGTCTATTTTTAACTTAAGAGGATTCATGTTTGAGAGTCACACAGGGAATCGTAGTGGAAGCCAATGGGTGCCAAAGAGCCTATCTCCTCCATTTCCCCCGCCCCAAGCTATTTATTTCTTTGAAATTTACACATAACAGCAGTTTTCATCTCTGCCAGACAGCACTTTCATTCATTTATCAGCTATCTTGCTTCAAAAAGCCCAAATCCCCAAACATAAAACATCTTCTCAAATATTCAGAAGTTAGGTGATTAGGGTGGAGTTTTATTCTTTCATTTTTCAAATCAACAGATCTTAGTTTTAGTATTAAGTTTGGTTATGAGAACACAGATGTATACACTAGGCACCATAAAGCAGTGACCAACATTTTTATTTTAGCACAATAATGAACTCTCCAGTCCCTTTACTTTGATAAAAAATGTTAGGAGTATGGGAATGCAAAATGAATTTTTGAAATTGCTTCAAAACTTTCGTTCTTTCTCTGCTCAAAGTCTGCTAATGAAGACAGTAGGCCCCCTAAGTCTCATCAACATCTTTGTGCAAACACGGGTTTTTACAGATGTTAATGGAGGTGAGAGCTAATGATTTGACTTTCTTAACATCTTAATTATCCTGGCCACTGTGGGGCTTTTTAATGCAGGATGGGGTGTGTTGTGTTTTGATTTTTAAAGGTATTATACAGTTGCTTAAATAAGCAAATAAAAATATTCCCCTAAATGATTGAAATTTGTTAATTTATTTCTTTCTAAAGTTTGTACATTTACATATATCATATACATATTTTAAATCTTTCACTATTTTGCATAATTTCTATTACATAAAAGCCACTTAAGTTCAATTGATTTTGTTGTTGTAAAACAACAAATTATCCCCAACTTATAAAAACACAGAACAGTTATATTCATAAACATTTACACAATAGAGAAAAGTACTATATATATATCATAGCTTCTATACATATCAGGTGACACACTTGTCTACATGGTTAGGTTTACTTTAACATCAGTGAAATGGAGTAATATTTATATACAACTATTTTAATAAAAAATAAAGCAATTGTAAAATGTAAACTTAATTTTCAAAATAGTCTCTGAATGCTTTAACAATATCCGCATAAGTTACTGTTCCATTAAAAAGATGACCACCATAAATGCCATAATTCTCTAGGAGATGGCATGTCTTCAGTCTGGTGGGTGATAATGAGGAACAGGTTTCCAGTACATAATTCAGTCCCACTAGCTTACCTAAGTCTGCTAATGCTGACAGTCTGGCCACTGAAAAGGAGTAGGCTGCTATTTTGTCACTAATTACTTTCACAATTTGCAGGGAGATATGGCACCAGGACTGCAATGAAACTGCAATGATTGGTGGAGAAAACTTTGAAGGTAAATGAAAGTTCCACACTGCCAATTAGTTTGAGTCACAGAAAACATAATCCAGTTACTAGGTTGGACAAGTTAAAAGCTTGTTCTATATTACAGGATACATATTACCACCCTCCTGCCTGTCCTACAGTAATCAAGGCTGACAGTATTGGTTCTCCACTCGTATAAGTTTCTGTTCTAGAAATGGGCTCCTAAAACCTGAGGTAGAAGAGAATGGAGGGAGGCATTTAGGCCTTTACCCAACAGCTCTCATCTAAACTGAGCAGAAATGCTAAGCAATAAGCACTGAGCAGAAATGCTAAGCAATAAACTTAGTGTTCCCTGACCCTTCCCACAGAACTGAAGCATTATCCATTTCCAGAAATTTGGGTGCAAAGGCAAAATATGTGGTCTTGGTGTCAGAAAAATTTTAAAATACCTTTGTCATATGTCACCTCCAGTGACCCAGTCACTCTCAGAGTTGATATCTTTCCTCAGCAGGGTCTACTCATTAGAACAGCTGGATTCCTAAAGCCAGGGAAACAACATTGAAATCCAGGATGTGCCTGCTGCTCAGTAGAAGCCCAAGTGGAGTGGAAGGCCAGAAGAGAAGCTCCTCTTTGCAGAGAGAATACATTGTAATCCTCTGTAGTGCCCCAGTATTCAGGGGTCAGAGCAAGGAGCCTCAGACCTACAGTACTGTCCTTAACTGAGCTTTCTGAATAGGACTCTCTTGGGAGTGTCTAAAGTCTTATCTATGCAAGCTCAAAGGGAAATGGTAAGTGAAACTCCAAATTTCTCTCCATTAACCAAGATTTTCAGGAATTGAAGTGAAGGTGTTTATGACACTATTAGTGAGAGTTTAGTTCTTTACCCTGCAAAGGGAAATATATTTTAGCTAAGTTTCTTTTCATCTCCATCTTTACTGTCATTGTTGATAGAAAAGTGCTTAACTGTTCAGCATAACTTCAATCTGAGCTTTCTCACCAGTATGGCTGAAAAGCGAATGTGGACAATTCATATTAATGCTCCTATGGTAAGCACTTTTTTGCTTCTCTATTTGTGTTCCTTTCTCAAAGGAATGATCTCCAGGGCAAGCAGCAGTGCCATCCTGGAAAACAGTGAACATCAGCCTTCTGGAATGTCCCCATGGTACTGCAAGATGTTGGAGACTGGCTGCTTATGAATGATAAGAAAGCCTTCAATTTGGTGGATGTGATATATATGTATTCATATATTTGTTAAAAATTCGATGCTTCTCAAAGTCAGACTCTAGAGCTCCAACTCCTCCCTAGCCCTTAGAAAATATTCCTGTGATGCAGTTTCCACCCACTTCATTCAACATTTTTACACCCTGGCCCTTTGTGTTTTAAGTTTGTATAACTTAAAACATCCACTGTGTATACATGTGTGCAAGTGTATGTACACATGTGGGAGGCCTACATGTATAAGACTTTCCCCTTACACACCTAAGGGGACAGTTAACTGGTTCTGAATCTCTCAGGAGCAGAGGACTGAGCACATGTATGTCTACCTTAAATGGAAGGCAACCAGCTCACATACTTCCCCCTCAAGCCCTCTGATTTCAATTTGGTCTAATTAGTCTCATTCGTATAGCTTAAAAAAGTATCCTGATGGCATTAAAAATCAGTGTGCATATATACTCTCTATACAGTGGATATTATTATCCATGCCAAATGGTTACTTGGCTTTATAACATACATGGCTTTATATGAAAAGTCCAAACATTTCAAATGATTAAGGCCCAAAATGAAACTTTATTTTTGCTACTCCTTTTATGTATACTTTCTGAATCAAATGGATTCTTTTTGCAAATCACTATAATTTTTAGAAAGAAACACACTCTTGCAGAACAAAGATCCTTCTGGTTAGTCACAGAGCCAGTTTACTGCATGTCAAAAACAAATTAGGAAATATGATATATTTGCAAAAATAGTTTGAAACTGTAGTTTAATAAAAAAAAAAAAACTCCAATGTAACTACCAACACACTACTGTAGACTGGAGCCAAAGATTGGTCTTCCACTCTACAACTCCAATTCTCTGAATCAGATACAAAGAATAGGAGACAGTATTTTTAAAAATATACTGCACTCAACCACTCACTCAGACATACTCAGTTGCTGCTTTAAATACACCAAACATGCTGGTTAATATACATTTAATTTCTAATTATATATTTACACGCTGTAAGATAAGCAGTAAGCTCAAACAACTAAGGCCAGTGGCTCTTCTTTGGGGAGAGGCAGGAAGAGACCTAAATATAAAAATATTAAATTAAGTTTTAACCTGGTCCACAGCCTGCCCTAAAATTCTTTTACTTGTGACACTAGATGCTAATTTGTACAACTGCAAACCTAGAATATAGTACCTGATCTTGGGAAACCCTGATATACTTTAACATTGTAATATTTCTTTAAATTAAAGAGGGTAAAGAGGTGGTGCTAGAAGAGTGGCTTGATCTACTGTAAAATAGACACAGGCACAAAAATGATATGGTGGGCACTTATTTAATTCTTCTGAAAGCTCTATTTTTCTGGACTAATTACAACAATAAAGAACATGTGCTTTAAAGCATCACAATTTGTAATAAGCCCAAAACTGCCAGTTTGAGTTTATGGTTAAGCGCCCAGAATACTGACGTTGTTAAGACTGCATAGGAAGTCTGCTTTTTCCCCCTCTTTCCATGTATCTAAAATTACAATGAGCTACCCCCTTAGTGTTGTACACAGTACACTGAAATAGTTTCACAAAGTTAGTTCAGAGTCATTTTGCCCTGGTGATTCAAAGATCAAAGATGGAATTTTCTAACATAAAATCTTATTAAAAATCTAATCAAAATATTTTAATTTAAGTTTAATAAAACAGTACCACTATATATATTCTCAATAACTGCATTATATAATCAATCCTATGAGGTTTTTACTTGCTTTTCATATCACACTGGTTATTAAAGATAAAAATAAATTTGATATACATATACCATATACTGATATACAGTCTACACAATGATACATATACATACGTACAACTATAAATAACCACAATACAACATTGGCAGGTGACAGAAAGCATTTTTTTGATGTCTGACATACTATTGATATGAATATTCTCCAAAATCCTGCACTACTACAGATACACACATAAATTACAAAGAACAAGCCAAGGAGATTTAAGGAAACTGTATATACAATTACTTAACTTGCAATATTTTCTTGCTGTTGCATTCAAGTCAACAAACTATCATGCAGATTCAAGTATTTACTGACATTCTGTCTATGAAGATATTCTCTTTGCATGCAATGGGTGTTATTATCCTAAGCAGAATGATGCCCACTTGGGATTTGGATACTATAGGTACAAAAGGAGAATGGCAATGGCTTTAAACTTTAGTCCCCCTTTTATCAGTGAGACATTGAAAAGGATTCTGAGAGGAGAAGCAATGACAAAGCACTTCCCTATCATTTGTTGGTATTATTTTATGGTGAACTACTGACCTTTAAAGTCTTGTAGGTGACTTGACAGTACAGGATGTCAAAAGGCTAATGGAGATATCTGTTGACCCAAGGCGAAGGCAGACGAATGGCCTGAACTGGCCTGGGAGAAGAGACAGCCAGAAAGCTTTGGAGCAAGGTAGCTGCAGAGGGCTCATCATTGCAGCTGCAGATGAGCCCTCTGCAGTCATACAGCTGCAGTCACAAAGCTGACTGATCTCTTTTTGTCAGAGCAAATTAGATGCTGAGAAAAGCAGATGCTATTTAAATCCAAAGTCACACTATTATTCATTAACTAAACTCTACTTTGACAAGTCCTTGGATGCCACTTTGGTTCTTTGTTTAACAGTGTTAATGTTACAATTGGAAAAAAATTGTCATTTGAAAAGTGAAGAGATTGTTCACCGCTGAAATTAGGTAAGGTAGCTACCAATGTGCTGAAAACTTGACTAGGTCCATAAGTGCTAAAGTACAGAAATTTGGATCTATAAAGCTGAGAAACTCCCTGTGAATTCAAAATCCAATGACAACTAACTGTACTCAAGAAAGTCTGGCTAGTAAGAAATAGAGAAACTTCTGAAAAGTTCAATATTCTTCCCATTGTCTATGATTAGGGATAAAGACAGAGAAGAGGTTTAGCTCATACCAAATCAGGCCCTTCCTTACCTAAGAACAGATTTTCAAGCTTTTTACATCAGAAGGAGTAATAGGCCAGGTACAGCAGAAAACTCCTTCACTTCAGGTTGTATAAATTATTACCTAGCCTCAAAAGTTCTGTGGTTTGGCCACAGAGTAAAATACAAACTCAAGAAATCACCTTTCTTCTGACTAGATATCATAGTAAAATTATAAAAAAATTATCACATAAAATTATCACATAAAAAATTATCACAAAGGAAAATGTGGTTGGCTATTGGCAAGACTCTTAGAATCTAGTCAGATCAGGGACCACTTCCTCCTACTGAATAAACTCTTGGCCTGCTAGGTGCACTGACAGTGAATAGGGCAGAAGTATTCTCAACCCATCCCCTGCAGATGGGCAACATCATGCCAGGGCAATCTGGGATCCTGGCTCACAGAAAAACCTTTTGCAGTTGTTTTTAAAGAGGAACTATGCAAGCATAGTATATGGCAGCTTCAAAGTGTCCTTCTCATCCATTTATCTATTAGCATATCCTACAGAAGTTCCTGTAGGCTAACAGTAGTAAGTCATATAATAGGAATAATGCTGTAGTGCTGCTGATGCTAACTGAGCATTTCAGAACTACTCTAAATGTCAGAAACACTGTAGCAAGGTACCATTTCATGTCTATTATATACTGTAAATAAAATACACAGAGACATTCTATATACACAGACACAGTCACACTATGGACAAACACATTCAAGCCAATCAGGGATGTTTATTTTTCTTTAGTTATTGAAGCTCAGAGATTATATAGTCTAGGTATATTTCTGCTTGGTATGAGTAAGTATCTAGGCAGAAAACAAATAGGTTAATTATTCAGATTTGAGGAAGAGAGATGATTCCCTCATGGAAATCTTGGATTTGGTCAGAAGCTACAAAAATGAATCAGGTACACAGGGCTATATTGGGAACTACCTTGTTTTTTGGGTTTGAAACATAAATTAGTCATTGCCTTCATGTAAACAAGATAGAGGGTTAGAGTGAACTTTTCAAGGTGTGGCAAAATACTTCTCACAAAGCAAGCAGCTACAGCCTTAGCATGGGGTTTCTCTTTTCTGGGCACTAGCAAATATAGGCATTTATATAGGTAAAGGAAGTAAATTTAATAAATAATCTTGTGATTAAATGCTGGTACATCAGAACAATACAGCACTAGAAACCACCATGGTTTAATAGCAGGTTTTCTCTAATTTACCAGAACCATGCTATTCATGCAGAGTCCCTGATTCTTTGGTCATAGTACCTTTAACTAATAAACTGAGCACAACTAGAGCAAATATGTATGGGAGAGAAGAGTATTCAAAGTGATTCTATTATCTCTGAAGTCATGAAGATTATAGCTTTAACTATCACAAAGTATCAAGGTTTCAAAATCAGAAAGTTCTAACTAATAGAAGGCTCAATTTTCACTTTTTCTTCCTCTACAGGAGAATGTGATGTTTATTATCCTAAACTGCAAAGGGACCATCACTGGAAAAAACTCATGACTGTAAGGTTAATAAAATTTGAGTAGATAGAAAATAATTATTTAAAATAAAGTACTTGTTCTCAGGAGAAAGTTCAGTAGTAGCAGACTGAATTGGCTATCAAAAAGACTGAGATAAGAATAAACTAAGTAACCTTGCTTATGCAGCCAGTAGATTCCAGTTTTCCAATCACAATTCATTCAATTTATTACTTTCAGATTTATTTTAAAGAATCAATATTCATTGCATTGCTGAACAACTGCAGCTACTTTTTCCTGTCTTACTTTGTTTTGATTTAAAAAAGAACAAAAGGAGTTCTGTTTTCAACATTATTTTGTTAGGAAGACTCCAATATTTTACAATCAGGAGATAACATCATGCCTAAAATAACCTAATTCCTGAATGGCAGAGTATTGACGATAGAGATGATTCTGGATTCCTAGTCTAGACCCTGGGAATGAGGTAACAATTTCCTGCACACCAATCGCAAGCCTACTGCTACAGCTCCCCAAGAGTCAATTATTGCCACTACCCTTTAGGAAACAAAATGAACTTCGTGTCGTCTTTCCACAACCTTCAATGGCGAAAGATTTCACTTTCTCTTTCCTTCTTTGGCTGAAATGAAATCAATACTTCAAGGAAGCTAATGCACTTCTTAAGTTCTCCAGTCCTCTGATCTTCACACCTCCTATCCCTGCTTCCAGCAGAGTCAGAACTCAACAGTAAGTGTGAAGATGTATGCACATCTGCATCACAGTGGGACATCTTGATTCCCAGAATTTTAATTCTTAACTGAATTTCTGTGAGTGCTCAATTTCACCTCAGTGACTGAGCAAGATTTCACATATAAAGGCTTATATTAACTCTGGCTAGAATTTGCTAAACTACCAAGTTTGTCCAGTTAAATGTTCCACAAGGAATTTAATTTTTTAACCTTAAAAAAGTGTAATAGCTGATTTGAGAATACATAAAACAACTGAGCAGAGTGCAAACAAGAAAAAACCAAAGGAAAAGTGACACATAATCATTCTGAAATCATGATCCCCTTCCCCTCATGAAAAAGGTGCATTAGTCATCAAGTAGCAAAAAAAAATCATCAAAGCCAAGAAATCAAGAGCAAAGAGACAATCAGTACAGAAACTAACAAAGCTATGCAATAGAAAAGGTTACTAATGCACCATTTAGTCACAGACTGTTTAAAAAGATATTCACGGGTTTACCAGAAAGATCTTGAAAAACTCTATTTTGCTCCATGACCAGTACTTCCTGGTCACAGATGGATTCTAAGTAACTTTTTGCTTAATGCTTGGTGTTTCAGGTCGGTGATCTTTCCTCTCTGACACGTTACGCTTGACCTTGGCTGTAACTGGAGATGAATCTGGGTTCAGCGAAGGACTTGAATGTGACTTCTTCAATCCTACAGCCTCACTTTCATTGTTACTCAGGAGCTCCTTGCCTCCTTCTTTTAGAATGCTGACATAAATTTCATAACGGGTTTTCTGGAGGGAAAATCAGAGAAGAATGGTAGTCAGTACACTGTTCATAATGCATGGAGGAATCATGCTTCCTCAACATTAAGGCTCAAGAATGGTACATGCTGGAGGAGCTATCACCTCTGGTTGTGGGCAATCAGATGGCCCCTATTGCGCCGTCACTCGAGCTTCCCTCACATGACCTAGGCCCTCACTTGAACCTAGTTTGGATATGGCTGTTTACTTCTTTCCTACTCTCCGTACTTCTACAAAGAATCTATGGTGAATTTACTCTCCAGTCCCCTACAAGACCACAACACTTTCTAGAGCTGCTCTGGGTTTCCCAACATCACTTTCTGTTAGAATTATCAATTTCTCAGAGTATTATGGTTTCTTATAAAACTTCATATAATATTTTGATACTTTTCTCATACTACAAAATTTTTTTCATCATCAACTATTTCTTGAATATTATGTTTAAGCAGCCATTTGATTCTCCTATCTCCATGTATGTTTACCTAAAAATACCTGGAAAAAAAAAAAACACTGCAGAGATTTTTTTTCTCTAACTGTAATTGGTGCTTTTGTTTTTATCTAGGTCACTACAGAACTATATAGTATACTATATACGATATATATATATATATAGAAAGAGAAAGAGATCTTGCAAATTACAGATGGGTCCCAGGTTCTTGATTTGATAGATTCTAGTCAAAAGAAGCCTTTCACCATACTGCTTTGACACATGAAGCATTTATAGAAAACCTAAAGAGTTTTATTTCTAAACAAAATGACATGTCGGTTATAAGTTATTACAACAGAGGCAAGCAAATTCTGTTATGACTATAAGTCTCTTAAGGGTTTTCCTAGTCAGATTGAGATTTTGTATATCTTAGTTTAAAGTTAATAATTATGAGGTTGACGCTACTGGAAGTTACTTTTTTAGGTTGTTTTGTTCAAAAGTGGGAAAAAGTTGCTCGTAATTAAGCTTGCTGTGAGTTTGGTATCTATGTGGAGATGCCAAGCTTTGCTTGATGATGATAATGACATATATAGGCAGTACTCATCATATGCTAACTTCAAGTCATTAGTACAATAATCATGTATGTAATTGGTACATTATTATCCCTGTTTTACAGTAAAGCAGATAGAGGCAGAGAGAAGTCCAAAGTCAAAGTTTGCAAAGAAGCTAGGGTTTAAACTTAGGAAATCTGACTCCAGAACCCATTGTCTAAGATATAGTTCCTCCCTGGATATGAAAATATATACATGTATATTTTAGGATGACCACTCTGACAGTTGTTGGTAATTTAGTCAATCAAAAGGGATTCTCAATCCCCTATGCTACTCCTATATTCCTCCCACTACAAAGATTCCTTTCACTGTAAAACATGAATGCTCCCCCAGCCCCTCTTGCAGCTAAGATGGGTCATGTGATAGTCTTGCCAATAAAATGTAAGGAGAAATGTATTGGGGAGCTTCTGGGAAGGTGATTTTACTTTCTGATAAGGGGGCCAGGCTTTAGAGGAGAAACTACAGGTGCAAGGCCCCCTTTCACTCTTATTTCTTCCTCAACTTAGATATGATTGCTTAAACTGCACCCCATGACATAGGGCAGCGGGCACGAAGACTAAAGGACCAGATGCTAGCTTGAGGAAAACTGGGAAGACAGAAAGAACCCAGGTTCTTGAAGATATAATCAGTTGGATCCAAATCTAAGATTCCCTATTATCTCTGAATATCTTATAAAGTATGAATAATAAATATTTTTAGGGTTTAAGCCACTGTTCATCAGTCATTGTCAAATGCAGCTGAAAGCATTATTAACTGATATACATTCCAATTTTAATAAAGTAACAAAGTAGAAGAATAAAATACTAAGTTTATCTCAGAAAGTTGTAAAAGGGCTTAATAAGGGCGTTTGCTAATAAAAAATGTTATCAGTATTACCCATCAGTCAAATCAGGGGACTGAACTAAACAATATCCAAAGGGCATACTAGTTCTAAAGTCTTATTTATTATGGAAGTTTATTATTTTAATCTATCTCTACACTGCTTTGGTGGCAAGATAAAAGTACAGGAAGAACTACTCCCGATATGAACAACCTTTAGTAAAATGATCTAAACGCAGTTTATTTTTTTATTTTTTTTTATTATTTTTTTTAAAGGCAGTTTAAAAAGAGATTTGGAAAACCAGCAGAAGGCATACTATTTATGAAGCTGGGGCATTTATACAATAAAACGGGTATGAAAGATGAATTTTTGAGATGACTTAAAGGGGACAAAAGGAGAGAAGGTTATAGGGCCAATTTTCTAGTAGTCTTTGAAGAAACTGATACCACTGGGAAAATTCAACTAAAAAACACATAAAGGGAAAACCATTTCAAACACTAATTCTACAGCTTTAGCTATAAAGCTATTGTCTCAAATAAATTACATCAGCGTATCCGTCAACAAACAAAAGGAATAGCACAGAAGAGTAGGAGCATGAGTCATCAGATGAAAAGAAAAGGCAAAGCAAAGGATGAAAGGGGACTAGAAAATGAAGTGTTCAGTTGTTGTTAAGAGAAATAAAGAAAAAGAAACTGATGGGTCTTTATAAACTTCCAAATGGCTTTACTCTATGTGTGTGTTAAAAAGGTTTACAGAGACAGAGACTACCAAACCCACTGATACAGACTTGCCTTTCAGCCTTCTCTAAAATGAAACCAAATGCATACTGAAAATATTTTAGGGCGTCTTTAATCTTAGAATTATTCAGCGGGTAGAGTTTCCTCATATTCTTCTGAGATTACAGATTCATCTGAATATGTAAATCTCTATCTATCTAAAGGCTTGCGGCTAAGGAAAATGATGTGGGAGAGTTTATTTCCTTTCTTCCTTTCTTTTAGAGAAGATGTGATTCTTATCTCTTTTTCTAAGACCAACTGTGAAGTTTAAGTTTGAAGTTAAAGCTGGGGAGAGAGGAAGATGGAGGAGTAGGAAGATCCTGCACTGACCCCCTCTCAAAAACATATGAAGCGTACAAATATGTGTAGTGCAACTCACTCTGAGAAAGAGCTGAAAACTATTATGACTCTTCACAAGATAGGGAGAAAAAGCCAAACTGAGAAGGGCAGGAAGGGCAGAGATATGGTCAGGAACTAAATCCCTGACATAGGGACCCACAAGGGGCAGAACTATTTATTACAGGTGTGGAGGTCCTCCTTGAGAATTGTGGGATTTTGCCCCTCCATTACACTCTCCCCCTGGAGGTGTACACTGGGAAGATGAATGCCTATGACATTTGACTGAAAATCAAGTGAGTCTTAACTCTGGGAGAGCCAGAAACGGAGACTCCACTCTTAAAGGGCCTGTGTGCAATATCACTCTCTAAGCACAAAAGCAGTAGTATGAAAATACTTGAGCTATCCACAAAGGACATTGATTGAATAATTTTAGGGCATGTGCTGGAGGTGCAGGGATCTAGCAGAACTTTCGCTGGGAATGGAAGTGTGGGCAAGTGCCATTTTTATTGCCCTCCTTTAGCCTCGCAGGCTTGGTTGGCCAATGTCAGTTCTGACATTCTCCATCTATCTTGCTAGCCTTTTGCCTCACCCTCCCCAATCTTTCTGTCCTGGCAGGTGCTCCTCCAAAATAGCTCCCTACCATCCCTGCAACACCTGGCAGGCAGCATCAACCAGGACCTGTACCCTTCCAAAGCAACTACTGGCCCATGGAGGGGGATCAGGCCTGCTCACCAGAACTGCTGCAACAGTTACTTGAGTCTTGCAGCCAGCCACAATGGGTGCTAGTCCCACCTCCAGTACACCTGTAAGTCACATCAGGCTGCACAGCCAGCCATAACAGAGGCTATCCCCACCCACCAGCATGCCTGTAGCAGCTACAGCTGGACCTCTTAGCCAGTCCTACACACCAGTACATCTGCAGTAGTCATGACTACATTACAGCCAGCCTGGCAAGGGGCTAGCTCTACCTATGAGCACTCCTGAAGTGGTGTGGCCTAATCACAACATGAAAGCACAGGCAGCCCACATAGGGGACACCCCTAGAGTGCCTGGTTCTGGTCATCAGGGAGAGTTGGTGATTCCCACAAGATACCTTCATTTTTTAAATTTATTTTTTATTGGTGTTCAATTTGCCAACATATAGAATAACACCCCACAAGATACCTTCTATATAAGGCCACTACTTTTAAGACCAGGAAACATAGCTGACCTACCTAATACATAGAAACAAACACAGAGAGTTAGACAAAATAAAGAGACAGAGGAATATGCTCCAAATGAAAGAACAAGGCAAAACCTTAGAAAAAGAACTAAACAATATGAAGAAAAGCAATCTACCTGATAAAGATGATCATCAGACTTGGGAGAAGAGTGGATGAACTCAGTGAGATCCTCAACTAAGAGACAGAAAATATTAAAAAGAAACAAATCAGGCTGAAGGGTACATAACAGAAATGAAAAATACCCCACAGGGAATAAACAGCAGTTTAGAAGATACAGAATGTATCAGAGATCTGGAAGATAAGGTAATGGAAATAATCCAAACTGGACAGCAAAAAGAAAAAAGTCTAAAGTAAAATGAGGATAGGTTAAAGGATCTCTGGGATAACATCAAAAGTACTAATCTTCCCATTATAGGAGCCCCAGAAAGAAAAGAGATAAAGGGGTAGAAAACTTATTTGAAGAAATAGCTGAATAATTCTCTACTCTCGGGAAGGAAACAGACATCCAAGTCCAGGAAGAAGAAAGAGCTCCAAACATGAACCAAAAGAGGTCCGCATCAAGACACACAATAATTAAAATGCCAAAAACTAAAGATAAAAAGGGATCTTAACAATAACAAGAGAAAAGCAACTAGTTACATATAAGGGAACACCCACATGACTCTCACCTGATTTTTCAGCAGAAACTTTGGGGGCCAGGTTGGCTAGCAATATGAGTAAAGGTTATCATGTCTAGTTTAAATCATGATTCCATTCCTGGGGCTAGGTATACTGACCCCCTCAAAGAAAATCACA